CATATACGCAAGTAAATCATAATTTTAATGTTTTCAAAAATGTTTAATATTTGCAATAGCTGCAAGGGTATATGAACTTCGGCGTGCCGAAGTTTGCTTTCTTTCTTGTTTCATTTTGAAATTAGTTAAAAATTTAGATATTTCCAATAAAAGTCGAACGATCAGATTCATAGCAATTTGGGCGCCATTCTAATGTAAAGTAATGTTCAAAATTTTAAAAGGATCGGTTCAGTAGATTTTTAGTTCTGATGAAAATGGGTTTAAAATGAAAATCGACTTAAAGTTTTTCATACGTGAGCAATCTGGTAGCACGGCCTGTCGTTTGAAACGCTGTAACTCCGTTAGTTTTACCCGGATTGACTTGAAATTTGTAAAATTATTCTCAAAATATTGTTAATTCAAAATAAAAATTTTAAAATAAAAAGCTTAAAAACAAAAAGGTTAAAACTCAGCCAACCAACCATAGATATTATACAAATTTTATATATATATCACATTACAATGCATTATATATATTCTTGATCATGATCAAAAGCCGAGTTGAACTATCCTTGTCTGTCTGACGGAGACTGTTTGTCCGTCTGTCCGTCTGGCTGTCTGACTACTTGTCTACCGTCAGTCAAAGCTAAGTTAAACTAATGGCTTGCCTTATCTCAGCAACTATGTCTTTAACCAGAAGGGTTACGTGGGTTTCCTCGTACAAAAATTGCCAATTTTCAATAACAACAGAATTTTTTGCAGGATCATCAGATGTAAAAACAATGAATATGTGTTTAAGTTAGGGTCATAAGCTAGGTACGAAAGAAAAAAGACAAGTAAAAATTGTATTTCTGTTAGACACTTTGCTAGTTTTGGTGAATATTTCTCGACGTTTTTACTATTTTAAATTTTTAGTAGTTGAAAGACCTTGTAAATTACATATTGAAGACCTGTGCAAAATTTCAATACGACCGCTTGACAACCGATTTTGAAAACACAGTTTGAGAACAATGCGTTTAAAGTTCCAAGTGACAATAAAAATGGGAAGCCAGTGCTGCACTTTTCAAAGCTGTATCTCAAAAAATATTTTCTAGGCAAAACAATTTTCTATTTTGTTATAAAATGTAATAAGAAAATAAAAAAAAATCAAATTTTGTAAACCGAGAAACCGACGTTGACTTAAGGGGCTTTACCAGTGTAACTATTTTAAAAAATCTTTTTTTTTGCCCTTATTGATTGTGTTTAATTTTAAATCATTTATGAAGGGCAGCGTCCAAAAAAGCCACCGCTCGCAGTCATTCGTCCTGCACCTAAAACTTTAAACGCTTATTTCTCAAAACGACATTTTTGAAAACTGCTGATATCATTTCTGGACTATAAATTGACTAATCGGTTTAAAATTAATTAATTCAATCATTAGAAATGGGCCTATCTACAATGACCTACAAACTTGAAAATTGATTGAAAATTGTCAATTTATCAAAATTTAAAACTTTTAAAATTTTGTAGTCCCAAAGACGACGCCATTGTGCTAATATTTTATATTTTTTGACTATCGTAGGACATTGTTATGGAAACATATTTTCCTTTCGTTATCTTTTTAAATTTTTTGAATTCAGACACTCTTTCGACCGGAATCATGTCAGCAGTTAGAGAACGTCTTTTTTGGAGCCTCGGCATACAGCCCACAGTACCGCTACTTTGTATTAAAATATCAAAATAAAATTCAAAACTTACCTTATTATGTATACACAATTTTAAAACATTCCATCAAGCACTTACTTTATAAAAAAATTTAAACGATTGCCCATTTTTTCGTTGGGTTCACTGGTATAGTCCCCTAAGTAATGGAAAAATGTAACTACATAAAAAAATGGAAGTTAATGATTGCCGTATACATTTGTGTCCAAAAAATAGTTTTTATTGCAAAAAACCTGTACATTTGCTTGAAGTGATCACCCCTTTTTATTAGCTCTGTTAAGATTCATATTTTCACTATTTAATTGTTGTGATTTGGGTTTTATTGGGTGTATGTTTGGTTTTTGTAGGATTCTTCTTTTCACCAATATCTTAAGGTGTTATTTCTCAGAAGTAAATACTTGCACAAAATATTACATTTTTGTCAAAAGCTTGCAACGCAGTGATAGCGACCTTTTCGCCCCTACACAGTAACCAATTATTGTCCGGCATCACTTAGAGAGTCGATCTTGCCGTGTCCGTTTGTCCGTCTAGTCATTTATACTCAGCTGTAAAGACATAGGGACAGGGCGGATAGGATGACTGTATTATACAGTTGCGATCAAAACAATTGAAATTCTGCCGTCCCTCACTCATTTTCGCTATTGGAATTTCTCTTTGCCAGTTTCAATAATTTATTTTATGAGGCTTTAGTCGACTTTGGTAAGTTCAGGCCCTAAGCTTTGTTTTATTTTACCAAAAGACCCCGATCGTCAATTCAATCATAAGAGGTGATATATTAATATTTGTGGTGCAAAAAATGGTGGCTGACTCTAAACTTGTTAGCAGTTGATTAACATATTACTGTTGGTTACTTATTAGACTCAAGTATATCGAACGACTGAAAAAGAAAATGGAAACCCATTCCCTCTCACATATTTATATATTTTATTTTATATTTTCTATAAGTTAAAAAGAGTAAACTTAAATGGTAAACAACTATAAATTAATTGTAATTCAGCGTATCGCACACTGAAAACGCCTGTTTAAACGCAGTACCGTATTATGTGTATGTACAAAAAATCACTTATACGAAAAGTAAGCCAATACCACAAAAAAGTTGTTCAAATTTAATTTACAGGCTTGTAAATGTCTTTAACAATATATTTTTGACTATTAGGCACCTTTACAGAAAATAAACCCATATGCTTTATCTTAGTTTGGCTTCTATCGATTTATTGGGTCTGTAAAAAAATGTTGCTGTACATGACTAAAAACTATTTTATTTCGTGTACGTGGAATTTCGGTTCCTCAAAAAGATTTTTATTTTTCGAAAGAGAAACATTTACACGGTCTACTGTCACTTGAAAGTCAGAACACCGAACCCGAAAACGTATTTTTCCGAACTGTTCTTCATTTTCCGTCAAAATAAGTTTAACATTATATTGAAAACGAAAAATGTTTCGAAAATTCCAAATCAAACTCAATGAGAGTCGGCCTTAAAAAATAAAAGTCGAACGTGTATATCCTATAAACAGTAAATTTTAGTTCTTGGACACATTTAACACATATTTAAGCTCTTTTTTATTAATTTTCTGTTTCTACATAATTTAGAGTAGAACTCAGAAATTCGAGCTAGACGCGATTTCTGAATTTTATTTTTGTTAGATCCAAAAACTAACATCAGCTTTGAATTGAAATGCTGCCTTCCAATTAAAACATCAAGTGACAAAGCAGCAACAAGAAATGACCGAAAAAAGGAGAACAAAAATTTGGAAATGTCTGCGTCGAATTGTAATTGTTGTGCCAATGGCTGCCATTTATTTATTTGCAGCGATTCTTTGACCAACTGCGGCTGACGACGATGACGGGCATTCAGAATAGAAGGGAAAATGCATTTGGGCAGCGTTTTTCGGAATGTTTTCAAATCAAATATCGGTAGTTGTCAAGGGGGACGAGAGCCGAGCTGCCTTCCGTGGCTTGCTAGCTGACGTTGATTGCCTTTGACTGCGTATTTATTTGTATGGTCTGTCTGTCGGAGGGTCCTTCAGTCCGCTGGTCAGTTGGTTTGGTTACATTTTTTCCGAGTTTGTTGCAACTCTCTTTGTTTTGCTTCTGCTCTTTGCATGTTGCGTCATTTTCATTTTCATTTTCATTTTCATTTTGTGCACTATTGAGCTGTGTGTTTTACGCTTTTTGTCAACATTTTGTTTTCAGCTGCTTTTGTGTACTTTTTCACAGTGTTCGCCACTGCCTTTAATGAATGTTTTGACTTCAATCCCATCCATCCTACATACATCACACAAAGTGTACAAAGCAAAGTGTACTATATGCACTGAAATTAACATTAAAGAACATTTAAAGTATTTAAATCAATCACATGTTCAGCAGTCTAATCAAAAGAACCACTCGAGAGGACTTCAGAATTGCAGGAATTCGGATTTTATTTCCCACTTACGGCACGATAAGCGTAATAAACACGTTTTTCCCCTCCATCGCTTCTGCTCAGGTTCATCAATTGGTTTAATGACGCAGCAAAGTATGCAACAAAATAATGCAAGCAGATAAAGGACCTTCATCCGCAGCCGATGCCAGACAACGTCTCATTCAGGGTCTTTCAATCGAAATCACTTGAACAGCTTGCACATTTATGCAACTCACTTCACACAAACGAATTCGGATTTGGGCTCGGATCACTGCAAAAATCACTTTCCTGCAATGCATGCAGCCTGGCTCCTCCCTTTCAGCCGCCCATTGCAATGCAGTCAACTCTGAAATTGCTTGGATTGGCGTTTGTTTAGCAACTGTCGCAAGCCTCTCCATTCTGCACCCTAAGCCTCCCGCTCACTGCGAAAATTTGCCGATGTTGCACTTGACCAACTGGCAAAGAGCAATTTTAGTCCAACAATTTTAATTGAATCTGAAGTGTCGAATAGGCGGCAAGAAAATCAATACTGGTTTCAAGCTTAACGAAGAGCAGGTATAATGCACAATTGTAAAATTTTATATTAACATAAAGCAAGAGAGAAAGCAAGCCCAAAACAATTATAACATTTTGCTCATTTTTGTAAAACGAACTCCCTTTCTTTAATAATTCAACCGATCCCAGGTGGTTTGATTTGAATATTTTTTTTAAATTTAAATTTAAAGTTTGACCATGTGACATGATCATGTTTTGTTCGGCCAAACAACTTTATTGTAGCTTTAACTATATATTAATCAGCTAAAAGAAACTTGAATTTTGATCTCGATCAAAAATATTTTTTATCTATTTTGTAGAGCTTTTTTTGAAGAAATGCTTAACATAACAAACTAAAAATACGAATTAAGAGTGGTTTGCTTACCATTTAATATGTGTTTAAATTCAAAACTTGCACGTTATTCTATTCGGTTTTTGATTTTTTCACATTTTCCAACACTTTTTATTACTTTAATATGGTTCTATATCGCACTTTATCCGTTTATAGATTGGAAACTCTTTACAACTTTTCACTGCTCACTTATTATGTGTAATCTTTTTCCGTATTTTTAATTTTGTTGATTCAATGCTTAGCGCATCTGAATACTTCAGAACGGACAAGTACTTATGGTTAAGTCAACTAGGGAGTTTAAAGGTCCTATTCGATATTTGCTTTACTACAGTTCACAACCATTTATAGTTTAAGCGAGCGATGTTGGGATATGTCTTTTGCCAGTGGCCAAACTGTCCAGGATTCTACTGATTCTTGGGATACACCATGCAATTGTAACTGATATGATTTAACAGAATGTGTTGCAAATACTAAGACTAGATTAGCACATTTACGGACTCCTAAGATATTTTGGGATTTTCCACAAGCTTTGTGAAATAATTTACTCTAATACTATTAAAAGGAAAAACATTCTTATGCCTAATCAATATTGTCCAAGTCCTGGTATTGTTTTTGACTTAGGTCAGTTACGTTACGATACAGTTTCCTGGCCTAGGTCAGTTTGCATGGGCGATGTGTTTACATTGCTTCTTTAATGCTTGAAGAAGTAATCAAAATCACGGACCGTACACACACGCACAGAAGGGAAGACTCTGGGAAATGTACTTGGAAAAATGTTTGTCTCGGACGCCGGCTCCTTGTCGTTGGCAACCTTTCATGACCGTAATTCGCGCAAAACTGATCCTTAACGCATTCCGAAAAACTTCAAGCTTGCCATCGCTGGCGAATTGTGCAACGAACACGAACCTATCCAACTGCACGAGTCCTTGGGGCAGCCGACGAGCCAAAGCCGCAGACGACGAGTTCGCACGAGGACCTCTACGAACTGTTAGCCGGCAAATAAGGAGCAACTGAGCTGCGAAGTAGTAACACCAGCAACAGTAACACCAAAAGTCTCGGCAAACAAACGAGGAATGCAGCCAGTCGACGAAGACCAGTAATACAGAGCTGGCGCTTGAAGTTAATGACAAAAGAAAAGAATCAGCATTAAATGCTTAATGGAGGTGTTCAATTTGCACACGCAAAATCACTAAGTAAAAATATGATTTTTTCAAAAATTGTAGCTATTATTTACATAGCCTAGTGTGCAACAGCATGTCGTTGGAGTAAGTCAACATCGAACATGTTGCGCTTGCGAATTCGCCTCAAACAACATAACTGGCAACAAGTACAACTGTCGCATTCGTAACTCTACACACTCTCCGCAGTTGGTTTGAAGCACATACATTAACTGGGAGCTTTCAAACGAAAACACTGAGATAAAACCATGTGCTATAAATACTTAAAATACTTCAAGATTTGGAATATTTCTTCAACAGTTATATAAATAAGAAAATAATACCGGGGTACCACAAAAACCCAACTAATTTTAATATCACTTAAAATTGCCTAAGAGTATGCAATAAAAAGTATAACATTGTATATATTCATCAAACTTTTATATATAAAATATATTATATAGTTGTACACACCCCTATGAGATAAATCGAAATTTTTTAGATCAGCCTCACAGCTTATGTGTTTATCCACACACCATTTTCTTCATTTCATACAGTTTTTTTATTCAAGTAACACGCGATACACGCAATATACACGAGAATTGAATTGCAATTTTAGCAACTTTTGTGTTTGCTGTTTGTATTACGTTCTTTCTTGTTTTTAACTCATGCCAGATTTTACCGCATTTGATTTTAGTTAATGTCTTTCGTTTCATTTTTGACGGATTTAAAGTTATTTAACTTCTTTTTCATTCAATCGTTTTTGTTTTTTTTTTTAACTTCTGGATCCGAAATTGGCATACTGTAAAGCAGCAAAATTTGGTGTTTTACAAGTTAAATACTACTTTCACTTTGCACGACGTTTAAACACAGGGATGACTTTAAAACAAAATTTGTAGGTATTTGTCCATGATATCATCTCCATTTGCATTTTCAGAAATTTGAGCGATTGGAAAAAATGTCGTAAAGCTTAACTTTACGAAAGTATTTAGCTCTATTTGCATGTGTATTTTTCTATTTATAAGTTGCACACGAAATTACTTTTAATCAACCATGCCTGTTCCAAAAAGTCTTCGAACTCCTCCTCAAAATTGTTTTTTGTTGAATCTTCATTATACCCTTGCCTTATAGTTTCAGTCAGAAGTTTTCAACGCTGTGGAGGAGACATCTCCGAGCCTATAAAGTATATATACACTGGATCAACATTACAAGGAGAGTCGATCAAGCCATGTCCGTCCGTCCGTCTGTCCGTCCGTCTGTCCGTCTGTCCGTACGTTCCTACGCAAACTAGTCTCTCAGTTTTAAAGCTATCTGCATAAAACTTTCCCAAAAGTTGTCGTTCTATTGCAGGTAGTACATAAGTCAAAAGGCGCCGGATCGGACGAAAAAAAATTAAAAATTTGCTTATTTTTATTTTTTTTTTAGTTCTTCGAGATATAATAATGATTTTATATTTCATTATTTTTAATTTCATAAAAATCGGATGGATCCATGAAAAAAATAAAAATTTGTTTTTGCATATAGTTATCATTTGATAGTTCAGATTTACGCTTTTAATTTTGTTCAAATCGGAAAACGATATCATATAGCTGCCATAGAAGAAAACGAAAAATTGAGCTGAAAATCATCATAGCTTCAATATTTTCAAGCATACGTATATTTAATTTTTGCAATAGCTGCAAGGGAAACTTCGGCTTGCCGAAGCAAGCTTATTTTCTTGTTTTTTTTTTTGTTAAATCGCGAAATGGTATTTTCTGCGAAGACTTAAGTTTTCTAATGCATTCAATTTGAGTTTTAAAAGTTATATTCTACTTTCACTTTGGGCGACGTTTATGCAAAAGTATGACTAATAATCAGTTACCGTAATCGTAATTTGTAAATATCGTTCAGAAATAATGATTATTTTGTGAGCGATATTATTTCGCTTAAAAATATCACTCTAAGCAGCCGATTGCAGCCGTTCTATACGAAATTATGACAAGTTTAAAATGAGTACTTGTAAGTTAAGCCACGATGTTTGGCGTGTATCCTTCAGCCTCAAATCAGGTTCCTTGAAATAGGCACAATACGCTTAAATGAAATCGGCACTAAACAAATATTTTCGCTCCTTTTCGTCTTTTTTTAACACTTTATGACCACAAAACCTAACAAATATCATTAATTTTTTTGGAAATTGCTGTCACCTTTCGGCTCTTTTTTCAATTTTTAATTATTTTTTTATTGACAAAATATGGTTAAAAATTGTAATTTTTGCGATATTGAGGCACAAGATGGAATTTTTTCGGGTAAGTTTGCTTCGTATTTTTTCCCCCTTTTGCTGAAGAACCAAATTTTTCTCTCGGTTAACGAGATATAGCTGTATCAAAATGTCAAAAAAGGTTTCCGAATGCCAGTTTAAGCAACAAAATGGATAACAGCATTAAATACAAGCACGAACCAAGTGGGAAAAAGTAATAATGCAGAATTTATAATTTTTGCAAGTACTTTGAGCAGCAACTTAAAAAAATGGTTTAGAATCAAACCAATTAAAAATGTTGCACAGTGTAATATATTGCAATTGTAATTAAACTATACACTATTAAAATTTTAATATTTTTCCGATTTGTTCCGACAGAAGCTGTATGATATAGTCGTGCGACATAAATGAAACTAAAAACGTAATTCTAAAATATTTAACCATTACAAGATTTTAAAGGAAATAAAACAAAAATAAACTACAGCGGAGTTGTTAAAAAGTATGTAACAGGTAGAAAAAAGCGCTTTCGACCATTAAAAGAATATATATTCTTCATCAGGATCAGTTGCCGAGTCAGTTAGCGATGTCCCTCGTTCTGGCGGTCTGTCCTTCTGTCCGTCTGTATGAACGGAAGATTTCGGAAACTATAAAAGCTATAGATTTATGATTTGACATGCAGGTTCTATTTATTCTTACGCAGCGAAAGTTTGTTTTAAAACGGGGATACGCACTTTCCAACGTCCATAAATCGGGAAAGTCTGCCACATCTGTTAGTTACTGAAGTGTGTGTGTGTGGGCTTCGGTCATATATCATATATCGGCCGTTTAAAATCGAGCAATAATTTTATAAGTCATTGAGTTATTAGGTCCTCTGGCGCCACTATTCTATGCTTTAACCAAAAAACTGTTAGCTTCAAGTTTTGGCCATTTAGACACCGATTGTTTTGTGTGGGAATGTTTAGTTATAAGTTGGTTAACGGGTACCAAATAGTTCAAGAACTCTACTTAAGCCAAAGAGCTCAACTATTCTTTCGCAATTTTAATAAAACTAAAAACGTAATTCTGAATTATAAAATTATTTCGATGTTTAACTAAATTAAAAATAAATTAAGAAATAAGAAAATCTTTTTTCATTTATTTTTATTTTTATTTTGAATGTTTCCATGGGAGCTATAAATTAAAGTCGTCCGATTTTAATCAAATCTACCCGTAATTCTGATATAATTACATTTCCGACCCTATAAAGTACATATTTCTTCACTAATATTCCATTTTTTTTTGTGATTTTCTGGACATATGAATGGTTTAATAACTCAGAATTTAGCCTTTAATTTTATTAAAATCGAAAAACGATATCTTAGAGCTGCCATAGGAACGATAGAATAGTTAAAGTACATATCATCATTGCTTCAAAAGTTTTTAATTTTTGCAATTAACTCCTAACAAACAAAAACACTTCTCAACGAGGTAAAAAAGTCGTGACGATCGCACTAAATACACTTTTTAAATGTTTCCATTCGGACCGCTTCATCCACGTATTTTGCCTACACATGCATTAATCTACCCTTGCAGAGGGTATTATAATTTCAGTCAGAAGTTGGCAACGCAGTGAAGGAGACATCTCCGACCCTATAAAGTATATATATTCTTGATCAGCATCACTAGACGAGTCGATCCAGCCATGTCCGTCTGTCCGTCCGTTTCTACGCAAACTAGTCTCTCAGTTTTAAAGCAATCTGCATGAAACTTTCCCAACAGTGTTATTTCTATTGCAGATTGTATATAAGTCGGAACGAGCCGGATCGGACTTAAGCATATAGCTCCCATAGGAACAATCGGAAAAATAAATAAAAAAAAATTATAGCTTTGCTGTTTTTAATTTTTTTTAGTTCTTCGACATATAGTAATGTTTAAATATTTCAAAATTACGATTTAAATTTCATCAAAATCGGACGACTATATCATATAGTTCCCATAGGAACAATCAGGAAAAAAAATAGAAAAAAATTATAAGTTTGCTGTTTTTAAATTTTTCTATTAGTTCTTCGACACATAGGAATGGTTAAATATTTCGGAATTACGGTTTAAATTTCATCAAAATCGGACGACTATATCATATAGTTCCCATAGGAACAATCAGAAAAGAAATAGAATAAAAAATTATAGCTTTGCTGTTTTTCAATTTTTCTATTAGTTCTTTAACAGCTCTCCCATTGAAATAATAAAAATATATAAAATAACTATCTAATAATTGAGCTGCAAATCATCATTGCTTTAATGCTTTTAGACATATACGCAAGTAAATCATAATTTAAATGCTATCAAAAATATTTAATTCTTGCAAAAGCTGCAAGGGTATATGAACTTCAGCTTGCCGAAGTTTGCTTCCTTTCTTGTTTAATTTAGCGTGACGAATGGGAACATTTAATGTCTGGCTTGTTTCAACTTCTACTAATAGTTTTAAATCTGATGGGCTAGTTTGCGTAGAAACGAGGAGACAAACAATCGGACATGGCTAGATCGACATCATGATCATTTTTTTACAAAGTATCTTATTACAAATGAGGTTGCTTAAATTAAGATTAGTTTTAAATTAAAATTTAATACAATAATTAATATTTTACAACTTTTTATAGCATTTTTCTCACTAAATAGTGGTGGATACTTTTAGAAGGAAATTCTTGCCCAAGCAGCGTTAACATCTCCAAACTGAGAAAAGTAGCCTCCTTCGTTGCTTAATATTTTTCGAAATCATTCATGCAGAGAAATTTGGTTTACACGTCACTGAAAATTTATTTTTAAAAATTTACAAAAAAGTAAAAAAAAATAGAATTAAATAATTTTTAAACTATTTTATTTGGACCAACTAAGTTAAGGCTTCGTGATAAGCATTTGACAGTACCTTTTTAATGACATGTATCACTTGTCTGTAGCTTTACTGGTTAAAAAGTCGTAGAACAAACTTTTTTTGTAACGACCTGACCAATACAAACGGAATTATTCCAGAATTCTAAAACTAGACCCTTACATTTTTAGAAATTTTTGTATTTTTTAAATATACCAAAAAGAATATTTTTTTAATATCTTTTGAACGGAGCATCGGATCTAAGCTGTGTTAAAAAGTGTAATATTTTTGTTCCAACTCAAGCTCAGTTTGTTTAGTATGTCACTTTCATCGCATTCTCTCCTGAACCAATTAATTCATTAAGCGATACCTTTTGATTGGTGTATTACTCGTTCGATCGGAGCAGCAGAGCAGATTTTCAATTAAACGGCTATATAAAGTAGTCTCTTATGCTTCCTTGCTTGTCTTTCCTTTATTTTTCTGTTTATTCAAATGGGAGCTATATGATACATTCGTCCGATCCGGCTCGTTCCGATTTATATACTACCTGCAATAGGAAGACAACTTTTGGAAGAGTTTCATGCAGATAGCTTTAAAACAGAGAGAGTAGACTGGACAGACAGACAGGCGGACTGACATGGCTAGATCAACTCTCCTAGGGATGCTGATCAAGAATACATATACTTTATAGGGTCGGAAATTTCTCAGATATTAAAATATTCTACAAGGGTATAAAAATGTTGAGTAGTGATAGTCCCTTAATCCTGAACCAATTATTTTCGTAAAGTGTTGGTAAGCACCATTTCACTTCTTATGATCGGAATTTTAATTCTGCTGCTCTTTATGTACATAAAAGTCTCCAATGCACACGTGCTTGGTGCGCATCTTTACTACATGTACTGCCGTCCACAATGAGGTGTTTATTTATTACACTTTAATTACCTTAAAACTTTAAAAATACTAAATGTCTACTCGCTAGCAACTTTTCGCGCCCTTTTATATCACATATGTATACATCTAACGCAAGGAAAAAGGGCAGTAAATAATAGGGTTGATGAGAAGTGGAAGAAGAGAAACTCGAAATTCGTTGATTCGGGTTTCGGCTTATTCAGCTCAATATTCCTGCAAAATGTTTCGCTTTAAATTATATCCCTAGGCTAAAACATTTTATTGACACTTTCAATAGCAATTGAATTTTTTTACAATGCAGAAAAGCTTTTAGTCTTTATCAAATCACGGCGAATTCGACTCCACTTTGTGTAGACTTTTTTATGTACGCAAGTAACATGAAAGAGGGATAAAGAAAAACTCAACCGACAGTCAGGCTGCAGAAGAGAGACGGATAGCAAAGTCTCCACAAAAGCTTTGCCCAAGGGTATTACTTGGGGTTGAAACATAAAAGTGAATGCGAAATAAATTTAATGGAACTTAAACGTCACAATGACTGAAGCCAAAGCAACATTCAAACAATATACATTGTGAAGCTATAATTTCGATTAACTCCTAGATAGTTTACACAAATACAACCATGTTTTGCATAGATTATTCACGAAAAGTCAAACAATTCATGCTGTCCCACTGATACAAATATAAAATGCAATCAATGGCAAACACTCGGAATCCGAATGCAAATACAGACGTCCAGTGACAATAACAACAAAAACGAGGGCGGCGGGACGAAAACATTCCAACGCAATTAGTTCACACACACACACACACACACACAAAAGTGACTGAGGGTAAAACCACCACCACTCAAAAGTGAATCCCCGTCCATTTTCACCACGCACAGAGCTTTAATCGCCTCAGCACACACACACACACACACACACACACATACACACAAGCCAGCCAGGATAAAAATAAAATACCATTGCATACTGTGGGGCGCTCCTTCTATTTGCTGAGCACGTCCGTTTCGCTCTCTCGCCGCCCATGCGTACTGGGATCTGCCCTTAACTTTGTGCTCCGACCAATCCGAGCCGCTCCTGCAAACTTTATGAGCACGGCAGACGTCGACCAATCGCAGCATTGCACATTTCCAGGCCGGCACTTGCACTCTTGCCCCTACGATTGCATGCCAGTAGGCGCAAACGCGGCCAGGGAAGTCGGAGGGGAGGGTAGAAGAGGGGAAGGGGGGAAGGGGGCTCGGCTCGGTTCGGAGTCCTGTTTGCCGCGCCCAAGTGTCGATTACTGGGAAGCTCGCTGGTTGCATATCTGTAGGCTCAATTACACGAGAGCCCACATCCACACTCACACCCGCACACCCACACAGACACTGCATTCGGAGGTGTTTGCTCTGCTAGGTGACAAATTTTCATGCCAACGCTTGTACATTTGCAGGCATTTTTCCTGCTTTTCACTCCTTTTCCCCATTCACACTGCAAATCGAGGGTAATTGGGGTCGTTCTCGTCGTTGTGCTGTGTTGATTTTCGCATTGCATATTTCCAGGCGCCTCTGATTGCTGCTCCTGCCGCCTTTCAAGTCCTTTCTGGGCATTTATGATGACGTTTTCCTTCGACTCGCACGAGTGCCACCGCCACTGCCAGCTTGTTTGCACTGAGGGGTCAGGTCAGCATATTTGCCAAGCAAAATATATTTCTTTCATGCCAAGTGTGAAAATTGTCTTCCTCCGTTGCACTTTTGATTGCCGTTTTCGATTGGAGGAGTGGCAGGAGTGCGCTCCGTGAGGAGCCATGGCGAAGGAAAGGAGACTTTGTTGTCGGGCCAAATCAGAGCAATGTGGTTGAAATCGTTGACGAGGCATTTTCTATAGTTTTTGCGAGTCGAACGGAGCTCTGAAGGCAATCAGGTTGCACCAAAGAGTAAAGGCAGCTGACTCGCAAGTTCCTGCGCCTTAAAGTCGCAATCTAGAAAGTTGATGAGTTCCGTTAAAAAGGGATTCCAATGAAGGCAACTGAGAATGGCTGTTTCAAACCGAACCAAAAACAAAGTCCATATAATATGAACTCGGTTCAATTAAAAGCAATTTATTTTTCAAGCAAATGATTCTCAATACTTGATAATGCACTAAATACAAATTTGGCGAGGTATAAAATTGACTTGTGTGTCCGTTTAGTATCGCACTAATATTCTCATTGATCTCATAGGATTGTTTTCTTTTCTAACAATAATCGATGTCGAATTCTTTTCGGTGTATCCACCTTTTAATGAGCAGGAACCCAAATCATGTCATTAGGGTAAATCGTCCAACTATATTGTAGGCATTAAAGAACGAGCTCCACTTTAGTCAGCCCACATAATCCACATAATCCGGATAGCTCAAGAAACAAAAGTCACACATAAGCACTGTGGTGATGGTCACGGGCCCGAGTCTGCATCCTGGCGACCTACAGAATGGGCAAGTGTCCTATTTGCACAGTCCGCAAGAGGCAGAGCACGTAAATGCATCCGTAAATACATAGGGCAGCACACAGCCACAATCACAGCCGCACACAAACACTGGTACCTGGCGCCATGACAGCTGCTAGGGAAAAGCCTCAAGAGGGAATTGAGTTAGAAGAACCAAACAGCCAAAGAGCCAAAGAGCTTAAAATCAAAAGTCAGGCCAGGCCTATGTAAATAAATGCAATATGCAGGCGGAGACGGAGACGGAGGCAGACAGAAATGGGAAAAAGGCAGTCAGTCACGGAGTGAAAGCTGAACGAGGGACAAACAGAAAACAAAAGGAGCGCACAAGAGCGAAGGCAAGACATCTATTTGGCCAACACCAGGATCCAGCAAGTAGGCACGACCCGGACCCGGACCCGGATCCAGACATCGTTGGACAATGGCAAATGGCGCCTTAGTTTCGACAGACCCGATTCTGATTAAGCGCATGGGTCGACGTCTGACAACCCACCGTTCCCGTTCCCATTCCCGTTCTCCTTCCCCGGCGGAATGCCCATCCACATCCACATCCATCTGTCGGTCTGTCACTCCGTCTGGCCATCAGACTGTCGCAACCGCAGGAAGGCGAAAAGTGGGGGAAAAAATCGGGAAAAACCGAAAACCGAAAACGCTAACAAATGGCTAGGCAGGCAGGCTGTTTTTTGTGTGCTTTTTTCGCTGTGCATTGTTGCAATGCAACGGCGTAAGCAGAATTACGTGCAATTGTTTTCTGCAGTGGTTCGTGCACATAAATGCGGCATTGGGGACTCGGGGTAAACATAGACACGTTGACTGCATTTAGGATGAGCGCCACGAATGACTGACTGCCTTGTTGAATGCTTGCGGGAAACTAAGACTGTGGATGTGTTTGCAGCCCGAGGAACCTGAGGATTAAAGGCTTTAAGGGCGATGTTTAACTTATATACATATGCTGCACTGTTTGCAGTTTATTGGATTTTATAAATGTCTCCAACTAAATCAATTTCGAAATAACTTCACAGTTGTACAGAAGCTCAAAAGATTCTGAGCCAAAGCTTCCAAGGTAGGACATAACTTTACTTTTGTAATGGCCAGAGACCACGAATTGCGGTATTAGATCGTTACTCAGCAGCCAATCTCTGACATAATACTGGCCAACCGGCCAGGGACAACGATTCGGAATCTGCCCATGCTTGGCCAGGCTAAGAATCCACCGTCTAAACAGGTTGTTCCGAGAAGTGCTGATCAGCCTGCAAAAGTCAATGTCGTACTTAAAGAATGTGTTGTACGTTCCATTGAGGCTCAAGCCCCTCTCAAGACTGATATGAAACGTTATGCCAGCTGGGATCTTAATTTTCGTCTTCATCTCACAGGAAATACGATTCTCAATGATCGACATGTTAAATACATCGAAGTAAACCGTATTATGATTGCATCTGTGGCTGAGCACTTCCAGTGATTTCTAAGGTGGGATTTCCATTATTAGTTATCTAAAAGAAAAGAGTATTACCCACAAAGGCCATCATTTCCTGCAAGGACAGTAGCCACAGTAGAGTTAGACTCTGGAACTCTTTTTGTGAACCCATTTTGATGTGCTTGCTGCTCGCGACTATTTAAGAACTGAGTTCGGCTTGCCTAAATATGTTAAGCTTCCCACTTGAAGCCCAATTTGGTTAGATTGCTCACTTGATCTCGTTAAATACTTATGCCGCCACGCACTGGTGAGCAACAATAATTAACATGATCATACCAGATAATTTCGATCCTAAAACACACATCGTTAATATCCGACACTTTGTACTATACTTTGTTTATAATTGAACACCTCAGATTTTTTAAATTTAAGTTTATGTGTTTCGCGAAATATACTTTTATCGATATAGAGTATTGTTAATTCCAGAGGGTGATAATGATGTTACAATGAAATTCAACAGCCTTCAACTCTGTGAATAAGGCATTTCTAACCCTACAAAAAATATATATTCTTGATCAGAATCAGTAAGCCAGTCGACGTAGTCATTTTGGTTTGTCATAGGGCTTTCGGGAAAATAATTGATGAAATTAGTATATTATTATATAGTCTTATTACAATTGCAGAAAAACGTTTTTATTTCAAAGTATACTGCAATTTTTTAGAATAACATTTACATTTTTTTTCTGGATGGCAGATTTTTGATCCTTTCAGAACGATCAAAACGATCCAGTCAAAACGATAACCAAATAATCGTTCTTAAATGACCGTTTAAATTTAGTTTGCGTCAACCATATAAAACGGTTCTGTGAACATTTAAAAGCCAATGTTTTATATCAAGACTTTAGTAAATATTCGGCAATCAGGCAGCTGCGATTTTGGAAAATGTCAACGAATGGATTAGGTTTTTTGGTGATAGTGGTGTTTTTAATGATCATGTCCACTCCTATAGTAAATATTCGTGGATCAAAGGTAGAATTTATTAATACGCACTTTAAACACTTTCAGATGGGTGAAATCGTAATGCTGGAGAGTCAATGTGGAAACTTTAGTCGAAGCTACTTTTCCAATTTTACCATGATGGTGAAAAACTCACGGCTTAATTTGGAATTTGTTTTATTAAGAGGTCTCGTTCAGGGTGTGACAATGGACATGGAGTTCCTCATCAGCATGAAAAACTCGATTAGGTATCAGAAAATTTTCCAGTACACTCTGGATATGTGCAGTATGCTGGCCCAGAGGAGAAACAATATATTCAAGAGATGGTTTGCGACCTTCTTTGATGCCAGCAATTTCAACAAGTATTGTCCAGTCGAACCGAACGTATACTATTTGAAAAACTATAACTATAACCTGCTTTTCGTTCCAAAGTTTTTGTATGCAGGCAAGTACCGAGTGAAGTTCGACATGAACCAGCTAAGAAGTAACGAAACAATCAGAGAATTCGTTGTGGCCTGTGCCTTTGTAGTTGAACTAAAATAAGCGATGTGTGATCCCCTTATTGTATATATTAAATTATATTATATTATAATGTTTGAAAGTTAATACACTATAAGCAGAACAAAAAATTGGCCTAACGAAACAAATGGCTCTAATAGCTTAGTGGACAGTTATCGAGCTCGCGAGGAAAACACAAACAACATAATGTCGAGACATTTATAAAAAAAAACGTTTTTAAGACAGAGATAGATGTTGAACTGAAAATTTGATTATATAGATTATTATAATTATAACAAAGAACACGATAGGGTTCATGATGTACTTCTTTGCAAACTAAGAGGATGGCAGCTGCGGGTTGGTAAAGGCACATTAAAATTTAAGCAGCTTACCAATTCTATGGAGTCAATATCACCTACAAGTAGTTACAAGCATAATTCTACGATTTACAAGAGTATGTAAATTAAGCTATAGTAATCTACTAGAGTAAGAAGTCAACCTTACATTTTGATCCCAGTTCAAACCACGAAGGGCAAAAAGAAGACCTACTCAATACGATCAATATGTTCTTGATAATGAGGACTCAATATTCTAAATTAGAACGGAGAAGAGAAGTAAAAAATAACTTAGTTGTATAAGGAACGTCGAATTCTCTTTACCATCGCTTAATAAATCCAAGAAAACTCAAAGCCTTGTTAACAGTAGACTTTATGTGACAGTCAAATTTTAATTTTGGGGCAAGAAGAACTCCTAAATCGTTGACCGAATATATTCGGTCCAGAGGCATTATAAAAAGTCATTACCTTACATTTAAGGCAAATCAGAATTAAAAGATTCGATTGACACCATCTCTGAAAACAATGAATATCGAACTGTAAACCGAAACCCGATTGCAAATTATTATAGGACAAACAAAGTTTAACATCATCAGCATACAGTAAAATTAGCAACACTATGTTGCTTCAATTAAAATTAGTTTAGTATGATTGGTGGTTGCATGAAAATGTTTTTTTTACATCATTACACGCTCGGCATCAGCATGGAAATGTTGAAAGTACTAACTTGTGCCTCCCTGCTTTTTTCGCACCAATTGTTAATCGCAGATGGAGTGAGTATTAGTTGCTTAAAAGTTTAAAAGCCTTGGCCGAATAAATCCGCTCTGTCTGTGAAAAAGTCTTCGTTTATTTTCCAGACGGGAAGGTCCAGGTTCAGTGGGGCACACTTCAAAAATTTCACACTTGAAATTAAAAACAATACGATGTTAATGGATATGGTAACCTCCAAGACGATTCACCGCGGCCTCAAGGTCCTCATCGACACCCAGATCAGCCTCGACAAGGGCAGAAGCTACCAACGCATCTTCGCCCACATTCTGGACACCTGCGGCGTGGTTTCCTCGGTGAGAAATAGCACATTCAAGAGCTGGTTCGACAGCATGCTGAGGCACGGAAACTTCATGGTCAACTGCCCCGTGCCCGCGGGTCACTACTTTCTGAATGGCTGGAAGCTGGACTCGCAGCTGGTGCCGCACTACTTGCTTCCCGGTGACTACCGTGTGTCCGCTCACTTTTTCTATGGCAAGCACAAGTCAAAGCAGGAGGACTTTGTCCTCGAACTGGTCGTCTACGCTCTGTTGCAAGCCACCTGAGCGCCGATGGCTATTATGATACAGCAAAATTGATTCGAGCTCATAAATAAAGGGAAATCAAGTAACTCGTTCTAAATCAAACACACTTCGCAGTGCGCCATTGCGGAGTAATTTAAAACCAATTAGCGGATCCGATTCGTGTGCAACCGCAAAGCTAGTGCTCCGTTGGGAGCAGACTGCCAGTGCAATCAGACTAGAGCTCGGAAGCACCAATGTTGAAGGTAGCACTTGTCCTCATCGGTGCGCTCGTGATGCTGGCAGAGGTAAGCATGGGCATAGTATGAATAAGACAGCCGATCCGGGCTCTAATCACTCCGCCACCGCAGCCCAGTTCGGTGAGCCTGAGTGGCGTGCACTGCGAGAAAAACCCCAAGTACTTCAGCAAGCTGAACGTGACGGCAGTGAACAGTACGGTCACGGCGGACATAGAGTTGCTCCAGACCCTCAAGGTGGGCTTCCGTGGACATGTGGACGTGCAGCTGCGCCTGAGCAACGCCAAGAACTTCCAGAGCCTCGTGCAGACCGACACCGACTACTGCGAGCTGCTCTCGACCCTGAAGGACTCGCTCTTCCGGCGCTGGGTGAAGAGCGCCATGAAGAACAGCAACTTCATGGAGAACTGCCCGGTTCCGGCGGGCCATTACTACCTCAAGGCCTGGCAAGTCGACATGGGCCTAGTGCCTGCCTACCTGCTGAGCGGCGACTACCGCCTGAGTGCCTTGGTCTACTACGGAAAGTATCGCACCAGGAGGCAGCTGTTCCTTGTCCAGTGCATCGTGGAGGCAACAATGCATAACAAATAGGCAAGGGGTTCGGCCTGATTTGGGCGAGTGTAATTATACCATTCAAGTGTTTTGTACTTGACCGATTGATCAATCTACCACTCAACTCGAACCGAAAAACAATCCCATTAAATGGCTTTAATTGCAATGTAAAAAATTGGGCGTTTGTAACACTGTTCGAGTTGGTATTACCCCCCGCGATGTTTCCCGGGAAAGTCATACCTGTTGTTTTGGTCTCCATGGTGGTGGCGTTTCTCATCCAGCAATGCGTGGTAAGTCATTCAGCTCCTTGCAGAAAGGTCATGTTGAGAACCTGATATTTAGGCCCCCCGAATGACCTTCAAGGCTGGTGACTGCCAGTACAACAGGTCGATTTTCTCCAACTTCACTATGCAAATAATCCAAACCAAAGTGATAATGGACGCGTTTTTGGTCACCACTCTGCGGCAGGGCCTGAAGATGCACTTGAGCTTCGAGTTCCGTCCTGCCAAGGGCAAACCCTACCAGAGTGTCTACCAGCACGATATGAACTACTGCGCCATGATCAAGGGCTCCCAGGAGTCGATCTACCGACGGTGGTACACATCCATGTTAAAGATGGGAAACTTGGCCACAAGCTGTCCCATTAAGCAGGGTTACTATTACCTCCATGGCTGGACACTGGACGCGAACTATGTGCCCTCCTTTCTCTACCTGGGCGACTACCGAATCCACGGATCCCTCTTCTATGGCAAGTTCAAGAAGCAGGTGGAGCAACCCCTTCTGGAGTGCAGTGTGGAAGCCGTGTTGGGCTAGATCGCAGTCAGTAGTGTGTAATTGGGCAGTCAGGCTCCAATGCGCTGGATAATTAATATATTTTGTTGAACGTAAAACTATTGAATAAAACAGTTCTCTATTTATTGTGAGCAGAGATGGCTCTGCGTATGTGGATTTTGCAGCTCATGAGGCTGGAGATACATTTGTGTCTGGTCATTATTCTTTTCTCTGTCACGGCGGTAAGCGGCAGTTCACTTCCGCCGGTAAATTAGAAGATCTAGCTTGTCTTTCCCAGGATCGCAGCATCAAGTTCATAGCCGGCGAGAGCCGATTCAACCGAGAATACTTTGAGAACTTCAGCTTCTCCATTCGCAACGATCAGGTCTTCCTGGACATGTACCTGCGGAAGCCCCTGCACAGAGGCTGGAGGGCCAGGCTGGATTTCCGAACCCGCGTGGGAAACACGAAGAGCTTCCAGAGCCGTTTCTCCACCAACGTCGACGTGTGTCACATTGTGAACGCGGCCCGGATCAACCTGTTCAGGAAGTGGTACAAGAACCTGCTCAAGTACGGCAACTTCCTCCGCCAGTGTCCGCTGAATGCGAGCCACTACTACTTGAGGGGCTGGCGGTTCGGGGAGGGTCTAGTGCCGCCGTTCATAACTAGTGGGTCGTACCGACTGGAGACCTACAACTTTTTCGGAGGGTACAAGGGCAAAGATGAGGACTTCATAATGAGCTGTACGGCCGATGCTGTCATACATATCTGATGCACTGGTTCTGCTCCGTTGGGTAATGGCTTGGAAATAAATGTTCGGTGCTCGTGACCATAGTTTGTAATTGATTTCCACGGCATTCATTTGAGCTTCATCGCGGGCTTTGAAATGTGGAAATTGCTTGTTTGCTCCGTGCTCGTTCGATTGGCTTGCCACGTCGATCTCGTGGCGGGGGTAAGTCACTCTCTGAACCCGAGAGTTGGAAAATCTGCAGATTGGTTATCTTTCAGGAGCGCGGAGTAGAGTTCCTCACCGGGAACTGCTCGTACAGTCCGAAGTATTTCAAAAACTTTTCGCTGACCATTGTCGACAACTTGCTGAACATGGACATGGATCTGAACCGGCCCATTCAGAGGGGCTTCAAGGCCGACATCGACATTCAGCTGCGACTGGCCAACGCCAAGAACTTTCAGTCCATGTTCAACCAAAAGAGCGACGTGTGTGCTTTGACGTCGGGGGTCAAGAACAGCCTGTTCAAGACCTGGTTCAAGGATATGACCAAGGACAGTAACTTCATGTACAACTGCCCAGTGGAGGTGGGCCACTACTACCTGCGCAACTGGCGCATGGGGAGCTCAATGACCCACAAGTTTCTCATCCCTGGTGAATATCGCGCCAAGGTCAACTTCTTCTACGGCAAATACGCCACTAAGTCGTACGAAGAAGCATTGACTCTGACGATTGATGCGATCCTATCCAACTAGAATCATCGATTATTGCTTTCCGCCTGGCTATATAATTGGACCATTTTCGCTGTGAAAGTCAATAAACTAAAATGATCGTGAGATATCAGCTATGCCACTGACTCAATTGTAACAAAAATCTTTAAAGAGCTTTACGGCTAGTAAACTTCTTAGAAAAAAGTTCGTACATATATAAATTTATTTAGTGAGTCAATTGGGTTAAAGAAGATCAGACTACTAATATCCACTGAAATAATAATATGCTGTGAAAGTTCGTTCGGTACGAGTGATATACCGATCGAGAATTATAATACCAAGACTTTGAGATAATCAATTGGCTTAGGGAAAATAACGGGGAAAGTACAATAAAACCAATTTAGAATTGGAGCTGTTAGAGACGCTGGGTCAAAACGATACAATGTTTTGGGCTGGTTGTTTCTTGTTGAAAATACGAGTCTAATGACAGCATAATTAACTAAAAATTTTTAATATATTTCGAATTCTAAGGGTCTTGGAATCTCATTAGCATTGTTCAGCAGCTAGGTATAAAATACGTTCGATATATGATTTCTAGCTTAGCCTTTTCCTGCTAGCTTAAACGCCTCAAGGAACATATGCGTTTTATATAACGTTAACAGAGTAGGGGCTGGTTTCTTGTTCTTTATTTTTCAAAGTATATAAATATAAACTTTTGGTGCCAATTTTATTAAAATAATCGACCCAACAAAAACGTCTATTTGTTATACCCTTGCAAAAGGTATTATAATTTCAGTCAGAATGATAATTTTAATGTTTTAAAGAATATAATTTTTGCAATAACTGCAAGGGTTAAGAGCTTCGGCATGCCGAAGTTTGCGTTCTTTTTGTTTTGACTTATTATGCTACAAGCTTTCAAGTATTTGGCTAGGTCGTCGACTCTACTTACTAAAATTTATCAACTTTTTTCAATATTGCGGAAAATTGCATCTTTGAAAATATGGCAAAAAAAAATTTCAATAAAATTCTTGGAAATGTTGGCATAAATTAGATTGATTTTTAATATATTAAAAATGTGCTAATAACTAATTTTTTAAGTATTATGTTATGGGCAAAGCGTGAGCCAGCTGGCTCAGTGTGCAGCTTTGCGAGGCGGTTTGCTTGGCCTCTTATAGTTTTTCGTCCTGGCTACAATTTTGTTGTTGTTAACTAAAGCTGGCATAATTGCTTATTTTATTTAAATAAATTCTGATGAATTCGCGGAATTAATAAACCCTTGCACAGAGAATTATAATTTCATTCAGAAGTTTGCAACGCAGTGAAGGAGACATTTCCGACCCTATAAATTATAGATTGTAGTAGGTTCATACATACACTAACACACATAACTTAATATACCGATACTTACACAATAAAAATAATTATACTTATTTTAAAATTGATGTTAAGCCTATGTTAAGCAACATGAACTGTAGGAGGATCTTTCTGAGAGAGTCATTTTGGAACTTTCGATATGAGCGAAAGCAATAAGACGGGTTTAAATAAAGAGACATATAAAGAAAAGAATAAAGAATCAGCATCACTAGGAACGTCGATCTAGCCATGTCCATGTGGCCGTCCGTTTATACGCAACCTAGTCTCCCACTTTTAAAGCTATCTTCATGAAGCTTTCCCATAAGTTGTCTTCCTATTGCAGGTAGTATATAAGTCGGAACGAGCCGTATCGGACGACTTTATCATACAGCTCCTATAGGAATAATCGGAAAAACCAATAAAAAAAATTATAACTTTGCGGTCTTTAAATTATTTTTTAGTTCTTCAATATTTAGTAATAGTTATAATTGTGGAATTATGTTTTACGTTTGATCAAAATCGGAAGACTATATCATTGAGCTCCCATGGGAACAATCGGAATTTTACAAACATTTTAATTTTCAAATTTTAGCTTCTCTAATATTCAATTTTTTTTGTAATTCTTTTAAACACGGGAATGGTTTATTAATTCAAAATTACACTTTAATTTTATTTAAATCGGAAAACGAAATCATATAGCCACCATAGGAATGGTATACATACAGCTTCAATGGTTTTTAAAGGGTACTCATATAATTCGAAATATAGAAGTCTAATTTATTTAATTTAAGTAGGTCAAATAGTAGTAGGTTAAATAATCCAAATCCACAAACATGTTATCGCAGTAAATGTGTGTTCCCCTTATACTTAAGAATTTTGGATTCATTTTGCTTAACAATAATAAAATAATTCAAAAATTTTATTATTTTTCAGCTTAAGCCGACTCTGAAAAGTGTGTCAGGGCATCCGCATATCCTTCTTATATTTTAAAATTTAAGGAGTACATTGTGCAGATACCAGAACTGATTGAACAAATGTAATGACCTTGTTCTTAAAGTAGCTTATATTAATTGCAGTCGAAACAAGAAAGAAAGCAAACTTCGGCAAGCCGAAGTTCATATACCCTTGCAGCTATTGCATGAATTAAATACTTTTGAAAACATTTAAATTATGATTTACTTGAGTATATGCTGAAAACAAGAAAGAAAGCAAACTTCGGCAAGCCGAAGTTCATATACCCTTGCAGCTATTGCAAGAATTAAACATTTTTGAAAACATTAAAATTATAATTTACTTGCGTATAAGTTTAAAAACATTGAAGCTATGATGATTTGCAGCTCAATTATTTGATAGTTATTTTATATATTTTTATTGTTCCTATGGGAGCTATATGATATAGTCGTCCGACTTTGATGAAACTTAAACCGTAAATTGGAAATATTTAACCATTACTAAATGTCGAAGAACTAAACAAAAAATTAAAAAACAGAAAAGTTATAATTTTTTTTCATTTATTTCTCCGATTGTTCCTATGGGAGCTATATGATATAGTCGTCCGACTTTGATGAAATTTAAACCGTAAATCGAAAATATTTAACCATTACTAAATGTCGAAGAATTAAACAAAAAATTAAAAAACAGCAAAGTTAAAATTTTTTTTCAATTATTTTTCCGATTGTTCCTATGGGGCCTATATGCTATAGTCGTCCGATTTTGATGAAATTTAAACCATAATTCTGAAATATATAACTATTGCTATATGTCGAAGAACTAAACAAAAAATTAAAAAACAGCAAAGTTATAATTTTTTTTCATTTATTTTTCCGATTGTTCCTATGGGAGCTATATGCTATAGTCGTCCGATCCGGCTCGTTCCGACTTATATACTACCTGCAATAGAAAGACAACTTTTGGGAAAGTTTCATGAAGATAGCTTTAAAACTGAGAGACTAGTTTGCATATAAACGGACGGACAGACGGACAGACGGACAGACGGACGGACAGACGGACGGACAGACGGACATGGCTAGATCGACTCGCCTAGTGATGCTGATCAAGAATATATATACTTTATAGGGTCGGAGATGTCTCCTTCACTGCGTTGCAAACTTCTGACTGAAATTATAATACCCTCTGCAAGGGTATAAACATTGAAATTATGAAGATTTGCAGCTCAATTATTAGATAGTTATTTTATATATTTTTATTATTTCTATGGGAGCTATATGCTATAGACGTCCGATTTTGATAAAATTTAAAACATAAATCTGAAATAATTAAACATTGCTATATGTCGAAGAACTAAACAAAAAATTAAAAAACAGAAAAGTTATAATTTTTTTTCATTTATTTTTCCGATTGTTCCTATGGGAGCTATATGCTATAGTCGTCCGATTTTGATGAAATTTAAAACATAATTCTGAAATATTTAACCATTACTATATCTCGAAGAACGAAACAAAAAGTTAAAAAACAGCAAAGTTATAATTTATTTTCATTTATTTTTCCGATTGTTCCTATGGGAGCTATATGCTATAGTCGACCGATTTTGATGAAATTTAAACCGTAAATCGGAAATATTTAACCATTACTATATGTCGAAGAACTAAACAAAAAATTAAAAAACAGCAAAGTTATAATTTTTTTTCATTTATTTTTCCGATTGTTCCTATGGGAGCTATATGCTATAGTCGTCCGATCCGGCTCGTTCCGACTTATATACTACCTGCAATAGAAAGACAACTTTTGGGAAAGTTTCATGCAGATAGCTTTAAAACTGAGAGACTAGTTTGCATATAAACGGACGGACAGACGGACAGACGGACAGACGGACAGACGGACGGACAGACGGACGGACAGACGGACATGGCTAGATCGACTCTACTAGTGTTGCTGATCAAGAATATATATACTTTAAGGGTCGGAAACGTCTCCTTCACTGCGTTGCAAACTTCTGACTGAAATTATAATACCCTCTGCAAGGGTATAAAAATGCAATTTTGTTGGCCTGTGTTGTCGATGCAGTGATGATGTTAACAACTTCCGCACTCAAGCGTCGATAACCGAATCATTACCGTTGCTTTCTTCACACTGTTCGGGGAACGTCTGCAACGGAAGATAGCAGCAATTTTATGGCGTGAAATAATAATAATATCCTGAACAAGGCTGCAACATGTTGCACGGCGTTTCGTTTGCGTTGATTATCGATGCAGCAGAAGGAGAAGACATTGGCGCATTCAATTGGGCTCCATTGTCCTCAGTGTTCAACTGGGATCACAGATGTCGCATGCAGCAAAAGAAATTGAAAAGCGAATCCAGGAAAAAGGAGACATTAGACATCGTCACACGAACGGTCTGCCTAACATGTGACTCGGTGTACTGAGCGTTTAACTTTATTGCTTCCTAATTGCCGCCTGCTGGCTGCCTTCCCAGTCCTTCCGACTTGACGGTCCGGTCATAACGTGCATTTGCACACAGACACATCCGAAATGATTTGCCCCAGGCCTTCTTGCCGGCCAATTTGTTCGAATCCCGCTGGTATAATTATAGGTTGTGTGGTGATGATTGCGCCCCCTGCATAGCGCAGCCCACACTCTACTCCCAATCCTGACAACGCCGACAGGCATGTCTGATGACTAATGAGTGTGGGCCACAGAACGAGTGAAAGTCAGGTAAGCTTTGCCTAATTAGTTCAAACGCCTATCCATGTAAGCTATGTAATTGGAGGCCTTTGAAATGATTCCAAAGAATGGCTTGCAGATGATTGAACATCACAGATATTACAGCTTGGCTAAGGCAAAGCCCGTAAGACCCATCGGATGGATTTCGGAAGGCCAATGCGACTCCCTTTTGTAAATCAATTTCACGGCAAACAAACATTAAACGTTATTTAACACAAGGCACGGCGACTGCGACTGCGACTGCGACAAGTATAATGATGGCAATTTCCTTGAGTACACGACGCCACTTCTCCAGTTATCCGCCCCCCCCCTTCACCACCCTGCAATTGTTTCCCAGAAGCTCCCAAGACTCTGTCCGCAACTCCGGTTGCACTGCCCTGCCGTTTGTTCTTCCCTGAGTTCCGGCAAAACACAAGAAATTGCGCTCCGCCCCTCACTCCAGCGGCGGAAGTGCAATTGATGGCGAATGCGATGGAAAAACCCGTGGCATCCTTGCCAGCGCGTGCGAACGTGTCGAGAGGAGCTGGACCAAGGACGAGGGACGAAGGGCGAGGGATGAAGGCAAACTTGTCGATGGAAAATACTTTGTCCCCAAACTATTATTGACAGTGTTTAAATTATTTTGCGCTTAGATTGCGCACTCGTATAAATCGCAGCTAGCAGCTAGCAGCTCGCAGCGTGGCCAGCCACGTTCCGGACTCGAATCAGTGCCCGTATCCGTGTCCTTGTTGGAGCACTCATTAATTTATTTATGCGAAGTGCACGTGCAACGATTTAGTCGATTGGAAGTGAGAAATGGTGTTAGCCCAGTGGAGATTTGAGCTCTTCAATGATTCATTGCTTTTTAATGTGACCAGTTGCCCGTTGCCAGTTGCCAGTTGCCAGTTTCCAGTTGGCGACCGGACCCACTCACTCACTTCATCTTGATGTCGACGTAGAATACGGTGCCAGTCAGGTTGACGTTGTGCCAATCCCTCACATAGACACTGGAGTCGATCCGGAAGCTGCCCGAGCGGATGAACCGTGGAACAATATCCGTTTCCGATCGAATGTTGCGCATGTAGTAGTTTCCCTGGAAAGGAACCTCCAGTTAGTTTGTTCAGCCCGATTGCCAGATTGCCAGATTGCCAGCTACGCAGTACCTCCTTGAGTGGGCAGCTACGCGGAAAGTTGGACTGCCTTAGCACATTGTCCATCCAGAGGTGGATCAGGCTGTTGCCCTTGCCCCTTCCCAACACCTGGCACATATTCACCTTGTACGTGAAGATGTCCCGGTAGGCGTTTCCGCTCTTGGACACCCGCTGCCCCATCGTAACCCTGAGCCACACGTCCGCCGTGATGTCCCGCGCAATGTTCAAGGTAAAGTTGATCGTGGTGCAGTCCCGACTGACTGCCGCCTCGTAGAAGGAGATGTACTTGCTGTTGTAGCCAGTGACAATCTTTCGAAAGAGCAGAAAATTCAGGGCCTGTGGCGATGTCAGACACAGGGTAAGCAATACTGCTGTCCACCAAATCTCACCTTCTCACCCCCAAGAAGTCCGCAGGCTGAACAGAGGATCAGCCCAACAATAAGGGCTCTGCGTACAACCATTACTGTTCGATGTTTACTAATAGAGTCTTTTGACAGAATTCAATTGGCACGCATTTTGCTGCTAATGGGTCCATTAAAAGCTCATAATTTTTGCATTAGCGAAACACCTTATCTTCACACAATAAATTGTATATGTAGGACACACTTAGTAAAATTCTCATTTAAATATTTTATTTTTACACCCTTGCAGAGGGTATTATATTTCAGTCAGAAGTTTGCAACGCAGTGAAGGAGACATTTCCGACCCTATAAGGTATGTATATTCTTGATCAGCATCACTATCGATCTAGCCATGTCCGTCTGTCCGCCTGTCCGTCCGTTTCTAGGCAAACTACATAGTTTCTCAGTTATAAAGCTATCTGCATGAAACTTTCCCAAAAGTTGTCCTTCTATTGCAGGTAGTACATAAGTCGGAACGAGCCGGATCGGACGACTATAGCATATAGCTCCCATAGGAACAATCGGTAAAATAATTAAAAGAAATTATAACTTTGCTGTTTTTAAAATTTTTTTTAGTTTTTTGACATATTTCAGAGTTACTGTTTAAATTTCAAGAAAATAGCTCCTAAAGACACAATAAAAATATTAAATATACCAAAAAAAATTCCAAATTTTATTTTATAATTTTTTTTTTAATTATTTTTGATTTATTAAGAAATTGCCAGTTTAGAATTACGCTTTTAATTCTATTAAAATCGGAAAACGATATCGTACATCTGTCATAGGTTCTATCGAATAAATCAGCTGCAAATCATCATAGCTTCAATGCTTTTAAACATATACGCATGTAAATCATAATTTTAATTTTTTAAAGAATATTTAATTTTTGCAATAGCTGCAAGGGTATATGAACTTCGGCTTGCCGAAGTTCGCTTTCTTTCTAGTTAAGTTTCTTGTTGCTATACCTACTAGTGTTATATGTGTTTATTTCCAAGTTATTACATAACACCATAAAAACAAAAGTAGTAATTGATTCATTTTAATCATTCTGTTTATATGGTAATATAACTATTTTGTTTTTTGTCGGCGTCGCCGGCTGTCGATTTTAATGAGTGTTAAAATTATAAATTGGAATCCTCCCAGCTTGTTAGCTCGTGGGTCAGCGAGTAGGCAAGCAAGCCTGAATTATAAAATAATTATAATTTACTCCCCCCTACCGTTCCATATACACCTTAATTTCAAGAACATAGTTAAATATAGGGCGGGAGCGCAGTGGTCGACTGACAAACTAATTGATATAGCATATATACAACTGTAAGAGTACAATTTGTATGGTTATGTATGGTTGGTATGCAATCATTTAAGAGTCAGTACACACTTTTTTGGAAGTCCAACTGTAATAGTTATGCAACTAATATTTTTTGTAATTAACTATTCCGTTAACGAATTACCATTTCATGGGAATTAAAATGCTTTTTATACCTTTGCAGAGGGTATTATAATTTCAGTCAGAAGTTTGCAACGCAGTGAAGGAGACATCTCCGACCCTATAAAGTATATATATTCTTGATCAGCATCACTAGGCGAGTCGATCTAGCCATGTCCGTCTGTCTGTCCGTCTGTCCGTCCGTCTGTCCGTCCGTTTATATGCAAACTTGTCTCTCAGTTTTAAAGCTATCTGCATGAAACTTTCCCAAAAGTTGTCTTTCTATTGCAGGTAGTATATAAGTCGGAACGAGCCGGATCGGACGACTATAGCATATAGCTCCCATAGGAACAATCGGAAAAATAAATGAAAAAAAATTATAACTTTGCTGTTTTTTAATTTTTTGTTTAGTTCTTCGACATTTAGTAATGGTAAAATATTTCCGATTTACGGTTTAAATTATATCAAAATCGGACGACTATAGCATATAGCTCCCATAGGAACAATCGGAAAAATAAATGAAAAAAAATTATAACTTTTCTGTTTTTTAATTTTTTGTTTAGTTCTTCGACATATAGCAATGTTTAATTATTTCAGAATTATGTTTTAAATTTTATCAAAATCGGACGTCTATAGCATATAGCTCCCATAGAAATAATAAAAATATATAAAATAACTATCTAATAATTGAGCTGCAAATCATCATAGTTTCAATGTTTTTCAGCATATACTCAAGTAAATCATAATTTAAATGTTTTCAAAAGTATTTAATTCATGCAATAGCTGCAAGGGTATATGAACTTCGGCTTGCCGAAGTTTGCTTTCTTTCTTGTTTTTTAATTATTTTTGACTTATTAATAAATTGCCAGTTTAGAATTACGCTTTTAATTCTATTAAAATCGGAAAACGATATCGTATAGCTGTCATAGGTTCTATCGAATAAATCAGCTGCAAATCATCATAGCTTCAATGCTTTTAAACATATACGCAAGTAAATCATAATTTTAATGTTTTAAAGAATATTTAATTTTTGCAATAGCTGCAAAGGTATATGAATTTCGGCTTGCCGAAGTTCGCTTTCTTTCTAGTTAAGTTTCTTGTTGCTATACCTACTAGTGTTATATGTGTTTATTTCCAAGTTAATACATAGTACCATAAAAACAAAGGTATGAATTGATTCATTTTAATTATTCTGTTTATATGGTAATATAACTATTTTGTTTTTTGTCGGCGTCGCCGGCTGTCGATTTTAATGAGTGTTAAAATTATAAATTGGAATCCTCCCAACTTGTTAGCTCGTGGGTCAGCGGGTAGGCAAGCAAGCCTGAATTATAAAATAATTAAAATGTACTCCCCCCTACCGTTCCAGATACACCTTAATTTCAAGAACATAGTTGAATATAGGGCGGGAGCGCAGTGGTCGACTGACTGATTGACATGCTATATACAATTGTAAGAGTACAATTTGTATGGTTATGTATGGTTAGTATGCAATCATTTAAGAGTCAGTACACACTTTTTTGTAAGTCCCACTGTAATAGTAATGCAACAATTATTTTTTGTAATTAACTATTCTGTTAACAAATTACCATTTCATGAGAATTAAAATGCTTTTTTAAAATTTAGTTGTTGTTTTGACTTTGTTTTTCTTTTCGTGTGTTGATCTGCTCAAGTCAGAGCTTCGATATCGGGAAGGAGCTGTGCCAGCGCTAATGAAACTACGGATCCACTCAGGTGGCGCTCAGGCCAGCCCCTCAACGTAATTAAATTGCAGAATGGCTCCGAAGTTTACCCATCCAACTGAGTCCCACCCTCACTTCGGGCTGCCCATATAATTTGTTAGGGACTGACGCTAGAAATATGATAAATTACCGCTTAACGGGCAGCTGCAGTTGCCTGCCCGACAGGGCAGCATAAATTCAGAAAGAGCCGCTATTCGCTGCTAACCAAATCTTAATTATAAATCTAAAGGAAGCACTTGCAGCCGAAAAAAGGAGGAAGAAATTACCGCAAGCGCAGTGCGCCGAAGGACGCGGATGCGACGGGGCTGGGAGTGAAATGATGATTTAATAGAATGGTCTGCGGGCACCGCCAGCTGGCTACCGTGTCCTGCCAGCCGGCTGAGCCGAATGAATGAATGGAAACTGGAGGGCAGCGGGGCAGCGGGGAGCAGGCGGAAATGACTCCATAAGCTGCTGCAACCATAAACCGGAAGTTAACAGACTTTCGCTGATGTGGCACTTTCGTGGCGCTGCTGCAGGACACCCAGGACACCAGGACACCCAGGACACCCAGGACCACGGACACGGAGTCGCCTGGACTTGGTCGACACGCTCGGCGGGCAGTCTGCGAAATTGTGACAGCGCATGGCCGCAGGATAATCAAATAATTTTTTTCGCTGCCTCCTTCTGTCCTTTGGCGGAGGTCCTCGGCGTTTTTGCGACTTTTCTGTGGAACAGCTCCTGCTGGCTCGTTAAATTATTGTTGCAACATTGCCACGGAATGCTAATTGCCGCATACGATACGATCGAGGCGACTTGGATTTCTGGTCTGGCGAACTTTTCCGAATCGCAACTGTCATTGATTTTGCCCCATTCTGACAGTTTCCATTTTCTGTGCTGTTTTTGGTGCTCCTGCTTGGCGCTTATCGCCATCTGTCAAAGGCTGGCAAATTGCATTGACTTGCACATTAATAAATCACCCTCAAAATGTCGGACAAAAGTTTTCCTATCGAGCCAAAGGTGCGCGTTATGTGGCACTTTGATCTATGAAGTTCTCCTTCAGTGCAGTTGATAACTGAAGGCCGACCTTTTGATGTGATTTCAGGGCTGTTAACAATATTTTGCTCGATTTGCCCACGCAATGAACGGCAAATGTATGCTCAATTTCGTTTGCAAATGTTTACGCGCGATGGAATTTGAACAACATGGGTAATTGTAAATGAATCGGAAGAGCCCCGTGAATTATACGGAAATTTATTCCGCAAATTGAGGGCCATTAATAGCCAGTTAGTTTTGCTGCTGCACATTGGCCCGAGCTCCATGGATGCCAACGAGTTAATAATGAACCAAGTGGAGGGCTCCGAAAAACTGTCACCAGCCCCACATCCACTTTGGAACAATCCTGTGGGCGTGGAAGAAGTCCTGAATGGATTGCCAGCAGAAGCACAGACGCCCGCTGCTCGGAATAAAGACGATGAGTCCGTTGATTTGAATTGTGATTAAAATGCAGCGTATAATTTCCGCACCGCACCGCACCGCACCGCACCGCATCGCCCGCCCCGGAAGGAGCGTTCCTGTTCACTGGATGTCTGAGGCGCTGTCTCCGAGCTGGCAGCATGTGCGCCGGCGAAGCAGAAGTTTTGGGCCTCGCTTCACACTTTGTCTGACTGTGCACAAATTCCTTGGAGAAGAATGCGGCGACGCGGGGGCGGGAGTTGAAGAAAAATTGCAAAAACCGCAACTCGTGTCGACTTGATGTTAGAATAATGAAGAGGCAAAACTTTTGCGCAAGGCATGTAATTTTTCGCAGTGACAGCCGGCCGTAGACCTCCCTTTACCTTCCCCTTCCACATTCCCCTTCCACATTCCCTTCCCTTCGGCGCCTGGAAGGCAGCACAGTTCCCCTACCGGAA